CTCTCTGGTCTCGCTCTGGTCTCTCTCTGGTCTCTCTCTGGTCTCGCTCTGGTCTCTCTCTGGTCTCTGTCGGATCTCTATCTGGTCTCTCTCTAGTCTCTCTAGTCTTTCTCTAATCTTTCTCTGGTCTCTCTCTGGTCTTTCTCTGGTTTCTCTCTCTCTCTCTCTTTTTTGGTCTCTCTCATTCTGGTCTCTCCCTCTGGTCTCTCTTTCTGTTCTCTATCTACTCTCTCTGGTCTCTCTCTAGTCTCTGGTCTCTCTCTCTTTTTTAGATCTCTCTGGTCACTCTCTAGTGTCTCTCTTTCTAGTGTCTGCTCTCTCTCTCATTCTGCTCTCTCTCTCTGCTCTCTCTGTAGTCTCTGCTTTTTCTCTCATTCTGCTCTCTCTCTACTCTCTCTGCTCTCTCTCTCTGCTCTCTCTGTAGTCTCTGCTCTTTCTCTTATTCTGCTCTCTCTCTACTCTCTCTCTCTGCTCTCTCTGTAGTCTCTGCTCTTTCTCTCATTCTGCTCTCTCTCTACTCTCTCTGCTCTCTCTCTCCTCTCTCTCTCGAGTCTCTGCTCTCTCTCTAGTCTCTGCTCTTTCTCTCATTCTGCTCTCTCTCTACTCTCTCTGCTCTCTCTCTCTGCTCTCTCTCGAGTCTCTGCTCACTCTCATTCTGCTCTCTCTATATAGTCTCTGCTCTCTCTCTCTTTCTGTAGTAACAAAACAATAGAAAAGTTGCTAAATCAAACCCATCTTTGGCTGCGTTTGGATCGAAAACACTCTGAGGCGTTCTGTGGAAAATCCGCCGTCTTTTTGCTCTTCGTCGCAATCTGTTCCTTTTGTGCCGTTGGAGCTTTCAGATGTTGAACCCAAACTTCCAACGCACCTTCGCTCTTCTGAGACACCTAGCATAGCCGTGCCCAGCGCTAATCAATCTGTCTTCCTGGGCCTTGCCAACAAAGATATAACAACCACACCTTTCCCTGAGCGTCCTGGCAAAGGCAACCACTTTTTTGTGTTTTTTGAAGATCCTTTTGCCTCTTTCTCCCAGCCGTCCTCCCGGTGGCGTCCTAGTCTTCCGTCGCGCCTTGCTCATTAGTCTCCGGCCGGACGGTAATTAGGCTCCAATTGTTTTTGTAGAGTAGAGCGGGGGGTTGAAAGAGAAATGAAGTAGTGCTGAAGCGGTAATTGCCGTGGCTTGTTTACGCCAACTTTTCAAGAGATTTTACCGACAGCAGATCACACGAAAGTAACTGTGGACTTAAGTGTGGTTTCTCTCACCCTGGTTTCTCTCTCTCCTGATCCCTCCCTATATTCTCTCTCTGGTCTGTTTCTGGTTTCTCGCCCTCTCTGGACTCTCTGTTTCTCTTTCACTGGTCTCACTCTGTCTCTGGTCTCTCTCTCTCTCTCTCTCTCTGGTAACAATGTGCATACAACTGTACAAATGCACTCTATAGAGAGAGACCAGAGAGACCAGAGAGAGACCAGAAAGGATACTGTACCTATCCACAACTACCTCAACGTAAGCTGTCCTTAAAGGGCCGCACACACTATTGATTACAAGAGGGATAGAGACTTGTGCATCACAACCATCAACAAAAATGATTTCACAAAATATGTTTACGTTTTCATTCAGAATCCAGACAAATCTAGCCACTTTTTTATTTGTAATTTTTCCGTCGCTGCTTCTTCGCTGGACCCAAGCTCTGAGACCCAAGACGCCTGGCTATAATTAAAGTGAGGGGAGACGGCAGGTGTTAGCACAATGAGGGGAACAGCTCCGACCCCCGAGCTCTGGCCGAATCCAGCCGGGACCAGGAGACATGCCAACGGTCCTGTATCCCTCTTGTGATCTATTTCTGTCCGCTCAAAGAATAACTAATACACCAGCCGCGCATTGTGGACTGAGGTCGCGGATCAAGTGGGGGCAACGTTAGGAAGTGGTGTTCGGAGTGACTGAAATCTGCCCTGGGACGGACCATCCCCCCGCCCTGTCTGTGTAAACGCTATGTTTTCAAACTTGCCATGGCAGGGCATAACCATCAGTGCAGTTTACCACTAATAATGAAGGAACTTTTAGACCTGGGGCTGGAGTCACGCAGGTCGTGTGTGTGTCTGGTCTCTCTCTCTTTGGTCTCTCTCTCTTTGATCTCTCTCTGGTCTCTCACTGGTCTATCTCTGGTCTCTCTCTGGCCTCTCTCTTTGGTCTCTCTCTCTTTGATCTCTCTCTGGCCTCTCTCTGATCTCTCTCTGATCTCTCTCCGGTCTTTCTTGTCTCTCTAGTCTCTCTCTAGTCTTTCTCTGTTTTCTCACTGGTTTTTCTCTGGTCTCTCCCTGGTCTCTCTCTGGTCGGTCTCTCTCTGGTCTCTCTCTGGTCTCTCCCTGGTCTCTCTCTCTTTGTTCTCTCTCTTTAGTCTCTCTCTGGTCTATCTCTGGTCTCTCTCTGGTCTCTCTCTGCTCTCTCTCTGGTCTCTCTCTGCTCTCTCTCTCTGGTCTCTCTCTGGTCGGTCTCTCTCTGGTCTCTCTCTGGTCTCTCCCTGGTCTCTCTCTCTTTAGTCTCTCTCTGGTCTCTCACTGGTCTATCTCTGGTCTCTCTCTGGTCTATCTCTGGTCTCTCTCTGGTCTATCTCTGGTCTCTCTCTGGTCTCTCTCTGGTCTCTCTCTGCTCTTTCTCTGGTCTCTCTCTGGTCGGTCTCTCTCTGGTCTCTCTCTGGTCTCTCTCTGCTCTCTCTCTCTGGTCGGTCTCTCTCTGGTCTCTCTCTGCTCTCTCTCTGGTCTCTCTCTGGTCGGTCTCTCTGGTCTCTCTCTGGTCGGTCTCTCTCTGGTCTCTCTCTGCTCTCTCTCTGGTCTCTCTCTGGTCTCTCTCTCTAGTGCATTAGAGTCATACACACATTGTTTCCATATAGACGAGAGAGAGACAGACACAGATTCTCTCTCTATCTGACCGCTCTGGTGCTGGAGTCACGCGCGTCAGGATGTGTGTGTCTGTGTGTGTGTGTGTGTGTGTGTGTGTGTGTGTGTGTGTGTGTGTGTGCGTGTGTGTGTGTCTGAACAATAGTCCGTCAGTGTCATGTGATACAGCTGTGACCTCAGTCAGATGATCTATTGTCTCTCATTCTCAGGAAAAGACATCAGTGTTTAGTTTACTCTGTTTCTCTGTGACATTTAAGACAGACCTGGAGCGGGTTTTAGCTCCATCCTCGCCCCTTCTGTCTAAATGCTCTGTTTTCAAACTTGTTAATGGATCCAAAACTGTGACATGACAAAAAAGTTTTCTGCTTTTAAATAAAAAAATCATGAAAGTCCTTACTCCAGTTGTCCTAAACTCTCTCTCTCTGGTCTCTCTCACACTCTGGTCTCTCTCTCACTCTGGTGTCTCTGGTCTTTCTGGTCTCTCTCTCTGGTCTGTTTATGGTCTCTCTCTCTGGACTCTCTGTTTCTCTCTCTCTTGCCTCGTCCCTGGTCTCGTCCCTGGTCTCGTCCCTGGTCTCGTCCCTGGTCTCGTCCCTATTCTCCTCCCTGTTCTCGTCCCTGGTCTCCTCCCCTGATCTCGTGCCCTGTCTCGTCCCTGGTCTTCCTCTGGTCTCGTCCCCTTGTCTCGTCCCTGGTCTCGTCCCCTGGTCTCGTCCCCTGGTCTCATCCCTGGTCTCATCCCTGATCTCATCCCTGGTCTCGTCCCCGGTCTCGTCCCTGGTCTCATCCCTGGTCTCATCCCTGGTCTCGTCCCCTGGTCTCGTCCCTGGTCTCGTCCCGGGTCTCCTCCCCTGGTCTCATCCCTGGTCTCGTCCCTGGTCTCCTCCCCTGGTCTCGTCCCTGATCTAGCCTCCTTGGTCTCATCCCTGGTCTTGTCCTTTGTCTCGTCCCTGGTCTCATCCCTGGTCTCGACCCCTGGTCTCCTCCCCTGGTCTTCTCCTGGTCTCGTCCCCTGGTCTCGCCCCTGGTCTTCCTCTGGTCTCGTCTCCTGGTCTCGTCCCCTGGTCTCGCCCCTGGTCTTCCTCTGGTCTCGTCCCCTGGTCTCGTCCCTGGTCTTCCTCTGGTCTGGTCCCCTGGTCTGGTCCCTGGTCTCATCCCCTGGTCTTCCTCTGGTCTCCTCCCCTGGTCTCCTCCCCTGGTCTCCTCCACTGGTCTCGTCCCTGGTCTCGTCCCTGGTCTTGTCCCTGGTCTCCTCCCTGGTCTCGTCCCCTGGTCTTCCTCTGGTCTCCTCCCCTGGTCTCCTCCCCTGGTCTCCTCCCCTGGTCTCGTCCCTGGTCTCCTCCCTGGTCTTCCTCTGGTCTCATCCCCTGGTCTCGTCCCCTGGTCTCGCCCCTGGTCTTCCTCTGGTCTCGTCTCCTGGTCTTGTCCCTGGTCTCCTCCCTGATCTCATCCCCTGGTCTCGTCCCCTGGTCTTGTCCCTGGTCTCCTCCCCTTGTCTCCTCCCTGGTCTCATCCCCTGGTCTCCCTCCCCTGGTCTCCTCCCCTGGTCTCCTCCCCTGGTCTCCTCCCCTGGTCTCCTCCCCTGGTCTCCTCCTCTGGTCTCGTCCCTGGTCTCCTCCCTGGTCTCGTCCCCTGGTCTTCCTCTGGTCTCGTCCCCTGGTCTCCTCCCCTGGTCTCCTCCTCTGGTCTTGTCCCTGGTCTCCTCCCTGGTCTCCTCCCTGGTCTTCCTCTGGTCTCATCCCCTGGTCTCGTCCCCTGGTCTCGCCCCTGGTCTCGTCTCCTGGTCTCGTCCCCTGGTCTCGCCCCTGGTCTCGTCTCCTGGTCTTGTCCCTAGTCTCCTCCCTGATCTCATCCCCTGGTCTCCTCCCCTTGTCTCCTCCCTGGTCTCATCCCCTGGTCTCCTGCCCTGGTATCGCCCCTGGTCTTCCTCTGGTTTCATCCCCTGGTCTCGTCCCCTGGTCTCGTCCCCTGGTCTCGCCCCTGGTCTTCCTCTGGTCTGGTCCCTGGTCTCGCTGGTCCAGGCCTTTCCTCTGGGTCACGCGCTCTCAGCCTTCTGTGGGGCCTTTGTGTCTGCAGCAGTGAGATCAGGAACAAAGGAAACAGACATGTCCTGGAGGAACCTCTGCCGGGCCCTCGAGGAACCTCTGCCGGGCCCTCGAGGAACCTCTGCCGGGCCCTCGAGGGACCGCGGAGAGCCAGGCAAGAAGGCAGTTTGGTTGCGTCATCCCTTACTCACTTATGGGATTCAGCATGTCACTATTTACTTTGGAAACTATGGGGAACAATATGGGGACAAATCCAAAATGGCGGTTTGTAACTGAATCTTGATTTTAGAATCCGGGTTTAGAACCTCCATCCATTTTCTCCCCCTTGGGTCTTAGAATCCGGTCTTAGAATCTGGTCTTAGAATCTGGTTTTAGAATCTGGTCTTAGAATCTGGTCTTAGAATCTGGTTTTAGAATCTGGTCTTAGAATCTGGTCTTAGAATCTGGTTTTAGAATCTGGTCTTAGAATCCGGGTTCAGAACCAGCCGCAGTGACTTTAAGAGATCCCAAAGGACGTCTGATTGTTGCCATGTCGCTGCTTGTGTTTGGAGCCAGAGAGTGAGGGGGAAGAGGAAGCAGATGCTCTGGACCTGGCACCCGGACCAAATGTCCACCCCCCCCCCCCCCACATACACACACCACACACATACACACACACGCAGACACACACACATACATAAACCACACACACACACACACACACAGAGGCACACACACATACATAAACCACACACAGAGACACACACACATACTCAAACTACACACACAGAGACACACAAACCACACACACAGAGACACACACACACACACACACACACATAGACACACACACGCATACACACAGAGACACACGCACACACATACACACACCACACACAGAGCAGAGACACATACACACACCACACACACAGACACACAAACATACATACACGCACGCACGCACGCACACACACACACACACACACACACACTTACACACACACACACACTGTCCCACCATTGTCCTCGTGTTAGCTCCATCTCAAGGCTTCTCCGCATTGGACAAAGCCTGAAAACATAAAGACCGATCGATGTCCACTTGACGAAAAGAGCAGCGCCGTATCGGACTCGCACAAAGCGCCGCGCAGCACGCCACGGTTACACAGAAACACATTTTTAAGAGAGTAAAGGTGGAGCCCTCGAAACCTCCACGACGCGCGTCTTTTTGAAAATACAAGAAAGAACCGCGGGACCATTCAAAGGACAATATTACGTTCTTGATTAAATCTGGCCGCGTGGTTTGTCCAAAGACTTTCTACATGAACAGGAATTAAAACATTACAGCTGCGTCCAAATCCAATCATCATTTTTGCTTTGTTCAGGCAAGGTCCATATAGTATACCAGGGACGACGGACTATTCAGCCAGGGACCATGGACAGCGAGACTACACATTGCTCCATCTGTTTAATGACAGCATCTGCCTCTTTCTGTGACAAACGAGATATTAGAGAAAACACAGTAAAGAGCATGTGTGTTTATACTGGACTTGGAAGCTGGCCTTATGGTCCCTTTATGGTCTCTCTCTGGTCTGACTCTGGTCTCTTTCTGGTCTGACTCTGGTCTCTCTCTGGTCTCTCTCTGGTCTCTCTCTGGTCTCTCTCTGGTTTCTCTCTCTGGTCTCTCTCTGGTCTCTCTTTGGTCTTTCTCTGGTCTCTCTCTGGTTTCTCTCTCTGGTCTCTCTCTGGTCTCTCTTTGGTCTTTCTCTGGTCTCTCTCTGGTCTCTCTCTGGTCTCTCTCTGGTCTCTTTCTGGTCTCTCTTTGGTCTCTCTCTGGTCTCTCTCTGGTCTCTCTCTCTGGTCTCTCTCTTGTCTCTCTCTTGTCTCTCTTTGGTCTCTCTCTGGCCTCTCTCTGGTCTCTCTCTTGTCTCTCTCTTGTCTCTCTTTGGTCTCTCTCTGGCCTCTCTCTGGTCTCTCTCTTGTCTCTCTCTTGTCTCTCTCTTGTCTCTCTCTTGTCTCTCTTTGGTCTCTCTCTGGCCTCTCTCTGGTCTCTCTCTTGTCTCTCTCTTGTCTCTCTGGTCTCTCTCTGGTCTCTCTCTCTGGTCTCTCTCTTGTCTCTCTCTTGTCTCTCTTTGGTCTCTCTCTGGTCTCTCTCTGGTCTCTTTCTGGTCTCTCTTTGGTCTTTCTCTGGCCTCTCTCTAGTCTCTCTCTTGTCTCTCTCTTGTCTCTCTCTGGTCTCTCTCTGGTCTCACTCTGGTCTCACTCTGGTCTCTCTCTGGTCTCTCTCTCTGGTCTCTCTCTCTGGTCTCTCTCTCTGGTCTCTCTCTGGCCTCTCTCTGGTCTCTCTCTGGCCTCTCTCTGGCCTCTCTCTGGTCTCTCTCTGGACTCTCACTCTGGTCTCTCTCTGGTCTCTCTCTCTGGTCTCTCTCTCTGGTCTCTCTCTCTGGTCTCTCTGTCTGGTTCTGTTATGCTAACAATCACATCACACACCGAAACCAAAATTGAAGCCGAGTTCACTTTATTGATAAAATATGTAAAATGTTGCAGTAAAATGGCACCAAACTCTGTTGAACTCAAAAACAAAAAATAACACAAATCTGAAATGATATTGTCTGTTGTAACTAGTGAAAAATATCTTCAAACCAGTTCAGTATTTAGTGCAAGGTGCGATCCAATTTTACACCAAAACACATTTACATAATCTATGCTGAAGCCGTTTAAACCTGAAGCTGTTAGTTTAGTTTTGCAGTGCGAACTTTATACCAATTGATCTTTGCCTCTGCGTGGACTTTCCCCTTTTCTCCGCTCAGCCTCGCTCTCCTGGCAACGACCGCCATGCGAGGACGAGAGCCAGGACATACACACTCATGTTGTAATGCTTTGGTCCGCACAAGCATAGAACTACAGGCGCGTACACATACACAGACATTCAAACACACACGCGGGGAAACAGGTTTTATAAATATTGATGACGACCTAATTTAGATCTTTATTAGACTGATTTACGGCAGCATCTGGACCTGTGTGTGTGTGTGTGGTGAATAGGTGATAATAGCAAAATGAAACACACGTAATAAGCTAATACTAAATGACACTAAATGTGTGAGTTTATTTTTATTGTTTTAATGTAACTTTAGAATCTATGTTTTAACCTTCACTAAGAACTATAAGTATTTACTCATGATTGACCTCATGGATGTAATAGTAATAGAATATGGAAATATAATCGTTTAATATTTATATACTTATATAATATTCAGATTAACTATCATTCAGATTAACTGATATTCATATAATTAAGATTAACTAATATTCAGATAAACTAATATTAAGATTAACTATTATTAGGATTAACTAATATTCAGATTAACTATTATTAGGATTAGGAGAGACAGAAGGAGAGACAGAGAGAGAGACAGACAGACAGAGAGAGAGACAGAAGGAGAGAGAGAGAGACAGAGGGAGAGAGACACAGAGAGGGAGAGAGACACAGAGAGGGAGAGAGACACAGAGAGGGAGAGAGAAACAGAGAGGGAGAGAGACACAGAGAGGGAGAGAGACAGAGGGAGAGAGACACAGAGAGGGAGAGAGACACAGAGAGGGAGAGAGACACAGAGAGGGAGAGAGAAACAGAGAGGGAGAGAGACACAGAGAGGGAGAGAGAAACAGAGAGGGAGAGAGACACAGAGAGGGAGAGAGACACAGAGAGGGAGAGAGAAACAGAGAGGGAGAGAGACACAGAGAGGGAGAGAGAAACAGAGAGGGAGAGAGAAACAGAGAGGGAGAGAGAAACAGAGAGGGAGAGAGACACAGAGAGGGAGAGAGAAACAGAGAGGGAGAGAGACACAGAGAGGGAGAGAGAAACAGAGAGGGAGAGAGACACAGAGAGGGAGAGAGAAACAGAGAGGGAGAGAGACACAGAGAGGGAGAGAGAAACAGAGAGGGAGAGAGACACAGAGAGGGAGAGAGAAACAGAGAGGGAGAGAGACACAGAGAGGGAGAGAGAAACAGAGAGGGAGAGAGACACAGAGAGGGAGAGAGAAACAGAGAGGGAGAGAGAAACAGAGAGGGAGAGAGACACAGAGAGGGAGAGAGAAACAGAGAGGGAGAGAGACACAGAGAGGGAGAGAGAAACAGAGAGGGAGAGAGAAACAGAGAGGGAGAGAGAAACAGATAGAGAGAGAAGGGGCAAGGATGGTGTTATGGAGGGAAACTGGAGAACCTCGAGGAAACCTATGCAGACACGGGGAGAACATGCAAACTCCACTCAGAAAGGCAGAAAGGACTGATAACAGATGTTGGTTTGTGGCTGTGGGAGTTTAAAGAACAGAGAGAAAGATAAAATGAGCCTCGAGATCAGAGCGGTTTGATCCTGGAGCGTCTCAATCTCGTCCCGTACGCCTTCTGTCAATCCTGCTCAAATCAAAGACGCCGTTTACAGCCCTCTCCCTTTAAGTCCAGCTGATCCCAGTCTGAAAAGGTGTTTTGGTTTTGACAAGCTCCGACTACAGACGCTGCTCCCTCTAGTGGCAGCGTGGGGAGGTACAGAGAGCTCTGACTATAGACGCTGCTCCCTCTAGTGGCAGCGTGGGGAGGTACAGGGAGCTCTGACTACAGACGCTGCTCCCTCTGGTGGCAGCGTGGGGAGGTACAGAGAGCTCTGACTACAGACGCTGCTCCCATGGTGGCAGCGTGGGGAGGTACAGGGAGCTCTGACTACAGACGCTGCACCCTCTGGTGGCAGCGTGGGGAGGTACAGAGAGCTCTGACTACAGACGCTGCTCCCATGGTGGCAGCGTGGGGAGATACAGGGAGCTCTGGCTACAGACGCTGCTCCCTCTGGTGGCAGCGTGGGGAGGTACAGAGAGCTCTGACTACAGACGCTGCTTAGACTTAGACAGACTCAGACTCAGACTTAGACTCCAACCTAGACTCGGACTTTATTGATCCACAAAAGAAATTACGTTGTCACGGCAGAAGCATGGTACGTGTTGTTTTTGTTTTTTCTTTCCGTGGCTAAAGCGGGACAGTGACTGAGGGCCGGGTTGGAATAACTGTGGTCCCCCAGGGGCCCGGCTAAAGAGAGAGGGCAGAGAGGAGAGCTGTGCCGCGGAGGATGGGAGCCAGGGGAACCATTCCGGAGCCCCCATTCATCCCGACTGTAACCTTGGCATGTCTCTCCACGCGTGACGGGGAGCGCACGCACACAGACACGCACACAGACACGCACACAGACACACACACAGACACACGCACACACATTGTTTGGGCGCGTCTGAGGTAGAAGT